GCTGGGGGCTAAATGGGGGGATCGTCTGTGAGAGACACGAGCAGAGTGCAATCACGAGAACAGGCACAAGTCATGCAACAAAACGAGGAGAGAGAGACATGATTAGTGGAGAGAAAGAGAGAGAGAGAGAGAGAATGTGAACAACACGAAAAAGAACATCCAGGCCAGCCCTCGGGGGCTGCTCAATGCCCCACTACTTCCCCTCCGCCTGCCTGTGGGCAACAAGGACCCCACTCAGGACCCCAACCTCTCCCCATTCCGCCCCGGGCACACCCCCCCTCCCGCCACTGAGTCTGTGCAGGATCACCCCCACACAAGAGCTTCAGCCACAAGGTGTGGGGGGCCATGCCCCCACACGCCTGCCTGCTTAACTACGCTTCCAATCACTCACCCTCTGGTCTCCCACCAACCACACCCACTGCAGCCCCACAGGGGTAGGGACACTCTGGGGTGAACACACCCACGGCCTAACACCGACCTCACCATTGCCACCCTCCCACCAGATGACCCAGAGACTGCACTGGGAGCCTGGCCACCTCCCCCACCCCTCCCTTGGCAGCCTACTGTTCACTCACAGGGGGACCCTGCAGCCCAGGATGGCCCCACAAGGATATCCCACATCACAGGAGCAAAGATGGACAAGACATACGTGAATGGGCACGGCATGGAAGCCGAGCTGCCTGGAGCAGCTGTGCTGAGCCCCACACTGCAGAGTGGCAGGGCGCCCCTTTCTGCTTCTCCTGTGCTGGCTGTGCCACAGTGCCCACCTGGCAGGCACCCGCCCCCCACCCCACCCCCCCGCAGCCCCTCCGGGCCCTCCAACCATGCCACAACACTGCAACACCCCTGGACAAGACTCCAGAACATTGAGGCCATGCCGGCACTGGCACAGAGGAAACCAGACCATCCCTTGGACAGACATATGGAACTGGGCATCAGGAGGTGGAGGTGGGAGAAGGTGCTGCTGGCAGGACTGGGGGTGCAGTGGGGTGGGGTGGGGACTGTCCCCCAGAGCCCAGCTTGCTTTCAGAGCGATCTTGAAGGACCCAAGGCTTCGGTGAGCCTGTATGACTACCCTTGGGTACCGCATCGCCCCTCCCATGACTCTGTAGGGTCTTCTTGCCACCCACCACCTTTGCTTGCTCATACTGGCCTCCCCCCATTCACTCACAAACTCACCCCAAGGCCACCATCTGCAAGGCCACAGCTGTGAGCAGAAAGCAAGCAAATGGGAGGGGACTCCGTGGTACAGACACAGGGAAGGGGCACCACCTAAGGACTGCATGCCTTGGTTGGGTCTCACACACCAGCTCCTGGGCTGGAGGTCCCGGCTGGAGGGAGGTGGGTCTGGTGAGGGATGAGGTTCAGCAGGGTCTCTGAGATGAGCTGGTCAGGCCAGAACACCAGTAGCTTCCTCCCTTCCAGGGGTCTTCTGCCCCTCTCAGGTCCTCAGCTCTAGAAAGGGAGCGTGTGGGGTGGGGGTGGGGACAGAGCACAGGGACTAGGAAAGGCAGGGGGTGGGTGGTGTAGGCATCTGGGCCCCAGAAGGCAAGCTTGAGAGGCACCTCAAGCCACGGAGATTGCCCAAGCCAGAGCTTGCTGAGTCCCAGGGGAAGGTGGCTCCCAGGAGCAGGGCTTCCAAGGGTGGGGAAGGGCTGTGGGGCCAGGGGCATCCCAAAAGAATGCATGGGCTTGAGCTACATACGTGCTGCAGCATAGGGGGCGGGCTTGTGTCCCTGGGATCAGCTGGTATGCATATCTGAATGTCAGAGCACCGGTGCCTGTCTCCTCTCAGAACCTAGGTCATTCTGGGCCAATGGGTAGGAGTGCAGAGCAGTCTTTGCCTGGGTGCAATAAAGCAGGGATCTGGGGCAGGTGGACCCAGTGCCCCCCATCTTGGGGAAGACCCAGGGTTGGAAGACAGGGTGGAAGGGCCACGGTGACGCCATGTTGGGCTTGGAGAGGGGCTCAGGCTCCGTAAAGGTGGCTCTGGAGGCCAACACCCTCCTCAGAGACAACTCATCCACTCGAGCAGGGGCTGCTGCCAAACAGGCTCCGTGCCTCGGCTGGGGAGCCCTGTCCCACCTCAGCCCTCCATCCCCACCTCTCAGACCCCTGCCCACCTCCTGCCCCAGCCCAGGGCACTAGCCACTTTCCTCTTGGGTGCCTCTAGGAATCCCAGGGAAAGGGGGGGAGGGGAGCAGTTCCCAGGGGCAAGTTCCCAGGGGCAAGGCAGGGGTCTTGGGGAATAATACTGTGGCCACGTGGTTGTGGAATGACCCCAGAGCAGGACCAGGAAGGGCGGTGGTTCAGAGAGAGCATCAGCAGGAGAGAAACAATCAATCATCCACTGGGAGAGGCCAACAATGCCTGGAGGAAACCTGCTCACCTGGAGCCTCCTTGCACACACCTGGGCCAGAGGCTAACTGCTACCTATCCTTCCCCTCCATCCTCCCATGGCCCCCAGCACAGGCCTTCTCAGCTCAGTGTGGTCATTCTTCTCTGGGACATCCATTCCTCTGAAATCCCTGTGTCCACAAAATAGGTCGATGGTATTCCATAGGTAGAGGTAGACTATGGGCTTCATATCTACGGACCAGAGCCCCATGATCAACTTTATGTGTTATGAGCAGGTTCTCATAAAACTGAGATAGTCCCATGACAAACCACTAGCCGTGGAATATTAGAATATATCCCATGGTGACTAGTATTGCTGCATGGACACACACACACACACACACACACACACACACACACACACCCCTCCCTCCCTGCCCCCAGTGAATTCAAGGGAAAGTGTTGTGTACTGCTTGGGATGTCTTGTATTGCTGCTGCAGTCCCTACGTTGAAAACCCTCAGCGGGAGGTTGTTGCTGGTCTGCTGAGCTTTCGTCTAAGCTGCCAGGGTGGTGGCCCCCTTTAGTCCCTCGCTCACCAACCGCTTCCAGCAGAAGACCACCGGAAACGTCTACTCAACCGTCAACCGAAACAGACAACGTGAAAGCTAGAGTCACTCCAACAGGCTCGTAAGGAAAAATGCTAAACTCGAGAGTGGTGCTAGACGATGAGTTGGTTCTGCATGCTATGGGGGAGTAAGCTGGTTACGGAGGGCTAGAGGTGCCTTCTTCGACGCAGGACCTGGAGCTAGGCAGCCGGCATCGGAGCAGGAAGTCTACTCAGCTATGGAGACAGGCTCTGTCGGGGGAGGAGACTCTGGGCTTCTGCCTCTGCAGGGACACCCTCCCCTGCCCTGACCCCATGCACCATGTCTGCCATCCACAGTGCCTGAAGAGAGCCAAGGGCCGATCCCATCAGAAGCGCTCCCTTCCCCTCTCCCGCCCTGCCCCAAGACTGGGTCAGCAGCCGGAGTCCCAGGACCCTTGCTCCGCGCCTGCCCACCTGGGCAGCAGCCCCTCGGGCTCCTGCCAAGATAGTCCTCAGCCCCCTGACGGGCCACGTCGCTCTGTAGAGCATCATGAGACCAACCGCATCAACCTCCTTACCCAGGACACCAGCCAGGCGCTTGCCTTCTGAATTTGGCTGCCCAGCGTCTCCCTGGGCCCCCAGGCTCCACACCTCGCGACTGAGTGTGGGGTCTCGGGTCACCCGCAGAACTAAGGAAGCAGTCTGACGGAATCTGGAATCATCACTACAGGTGGCAGGCGCGAAAGGTCAGATCGACATGCCCCTAAGAGGTTTCCTACCTGCTCTGTTAATTTCTAAAATTTCTTCCTGGGTCAGCGGGCATGTGTCACTCTGAGTACTGTGATGTGGAGAGTTTACGACAGATTTACAATAATTGGGAGATCCCAGCTGTGGTGGCCGCGGAATATGCTTCTTCTTTTTCTTTGGTAGTTTCTGCTTAGCCATGGCTAAGGAGTAATACATCCCGAAATTGTTCACAATGACGGGCACGGGCATGGCGATGGTGAGCACGCCGGCCAGCGCGCACAGAGCTCCCACCAGCATGCCGGACCACGTCTGCGGATACATGTCTCCGTAGCCCAGCGTCGTCATGGTGACCACGGCCCACCAGAAGCCGATGGGGATGTTCTTGAAGTGCGTGTGCTCGCTGGCGCTGGGGTCGTTGGGCTGGGCCCCTATCCTCTCGGCGTAGTAGATCATGGTGGCGAAGATCAGGACGCCCAAGGCCAGGAAGATGATGAGCAGTAAGAACTCGTTGGTGCTGGCGCGCAGCGTGTGGCCCAGGACCCGCAGGCCCACAAAATGGCGAGTCAGCTTGAAGATGCGCAGGATGCGCACGAAGCGGACGACGCGCAGGAAACCCAGGACGTCCTTGGCCGCCTTGGAGGAGAGGCCGCTCAAGCCCACCTCCAGGTAGAAGGGCAGGATGGCCACAAAGTCAATGATGTTGAGGGAGTTCTTGATGAATTCGACCTTGTTGGGGCAGAAGACCACGCGCATGAGAAACTCAAAGGTGAACCAGACCACGCAGACGCCCTCGATGTAGGTAAGGAAGGCCTCCGTCTCGGCTTCCCGGTAGTAGCGGACTTGCGTGCCATTCCGGACGCTCTCGATCTCCGTCTTGTTCACGATGGGGTTGAAGCGCTCGTGGGTCTCCAGGCAGAAGGTGGTGATGGAGACCAGAATGAAGAAGAGGGAGGCCAAGGCCACATACTGTGGGGGAGAAACAGACAGCTGTCAGAGGGGCGGCCCTCCCGCGGATGCACAGCGGAGAAACGGAAGAAGCTGGCTCAGTGTGGGGTCCAGCCAGAGGGCCTGGCTGGGGGACCATGCCTGCACAATGCCTCCCGCCTCCCTAATGGGGATCCAGCCCACTGAGGCGGAGGCTTGCAAAGAAACAAGAGGGGGCGGCGTGTGGCCTTGGGCTGCTCAAAGCCACATCTCTCGTCTTGCATCCCTCCTACGCCAATGGGCTTGTTCTGTCTGTCCTCCATCTCTGCCTCACTCCTGGGCCTCACGGGCCCTAGTCTATCTATAACTGATGGAGATGCATGTCTGCCCCAGGACCCTAGATGACTTTGTAGATGTTGTCCTTCTAGATAGTAATGTCCAGGGTCAGGGACAGACAGGAAAGATGGACTAACACAGTGGCTGCAGCGGTGGGTGGGAGCATGTTAACAACTCTGAGGGTGGAGCAGACGTGGCCTTCTGTGTATGCAGCGTTGCCATGAGCTGGAGCCGAAGCAGCCATACCTAACACCAACCGTCTTTCTGGAAACTCCCATCACCCACCTGGAGGTGAGTTCTCCATCCTTGGAGGTATTCAAATAAAGCTTAAGGATCACTTGTCCCATAGACTGGATTGAGGCTTCAGGCATCAGGAGCAGAATGGGACCGAGAGTCCCTAGAGGCCCAAAGATGAAGTCGATCCTTCTGTGTTCCTCGCCAGACCCAGGTATGGAGTGCATGGGGGGAGGGGAGAAACTGCTGCCGGGCTTGGGCTTCCCAAGCACACGTGGTACGTGCTATTCTTAGACCCCACATCCCCACCCCAATAAGGGGAGCCTGACCAGGATCACCCAGCCTGGCCGGAACCCCTGGAGAAAAGTGCTGAGAGGACTTTTGGTTTGATTGGTGGCTCCATTAAATGACCCTCTGAGCCTTCTTAGTCTCCAGTAGACTGTGAATTTCAAGTCCTCCTGCTCAGTCAGAATTTGGGGCAAGTCTCTTCTCACAACCTTGAGTTCAGTGGCTCTGGAAGTATAGCCACGCCCCATGTCCCCTCCACATCCCCCCAGCCTCCTTTGGCATTGACCTGGGAAGAAAAACTCTGACCACTCAGCCCTCCCCCCAGGGCCCAGAGGGCCCTTCCTACCCTACATGCTCCCACCATTCCGGCTCCTCTGAACTCCTCTTCTGTCTGACTGAGGCAGTCTAAGGCCTGGGCAGGGCAGGGCCATCGCTGAGGGTGCAGCTCAGGGTGACCATCCAGACTGGGTGGTGTCTTTGTTCTCCTGGGCTGCCTTCGTGGATAACTTCAAGAAATACCCAGCTCGCACCTTCCAGCAGTCGCAGGAGATGGTCATGCTGCTTCTAGCATTTGCCACAATTTACACTGACTTGGGGAGGGGTAGTTGTGGGGTGGGGGCTATGGGTGAATGTTGGCAGTACCATCACAACCCTGTCTGGGTTGACCCTGGCCACTAGGAGAGGCCACAGGTTGACCGTGGCCACAGGAAACTGGGAGAGATCACAATAGCCTAAGTAGCTAGAAGACGGGCGGGAACCCCCAAGTGTCCATCAACAGATGAATGGAGAAACAAAATGTGGTCTAGCTAGAAAACGAAAAAGCCAAGCTCAATGCCTTGGCGCCAAGTCTGACTCAGAGCCACCGTGTGGGACAGAGCAGGATGGCCCGGTGGGCTTCCAAAGCTACAGATCTTCTGGTAGCAGAAAGCCTCATCTTTCTCCCTCAGTGCAGCTGGTGGGTTTGTATGTGCGAACCTTTTGGTTAGCTGCCCGACACAGAACCTGCCAAAGAGAAACAAAGTTGTGCAACCAGCTATGGTATGGAGGAACCTGGAAATGTGATGCTCAGTGAAAGAAGCCAGACACAGCCGGATATTGCCTGATCTCACCTGTCGAGAGCATCTAGAATAGGCAAATGCCTAGAGACAGAACGCAGCTTAGTGGTTGTCGGCAGCTTGAGGGAGGAGAGGGGAGGATTGGGAATGTGGCTTAATGGATACGGAGTTTCTGTTTGAGGTGATGAAAACGTTTTGGAAACAAATAGTGATGATTGTACAATATTGTGACATAACACTGAATTCTTAATATTATTTAAATGGGAGACTTTCCTTACACAGATTTTATCATAATATGAAAAAAAAGAAGCTGGGTCTACTGCACCCCTAGGCTCTAAGTGCTAGCCCCTGGTGGGAAATGGGACACACACACCCAGGCATTCCTTACAGCCCCCTCAGCCAAGGGATCCCCCCTGAGCTTTTCCCATGACCATCCTCCCCTGTCCCCTCTGCTCAAACGTGTCTCTGTCAACAAGACCAGTGTCATCAAGGCCAACAGGTTTCAAGGCCCCATCTCGGTCAATAATCCTCCCTCCATGCAGCTACAGGGAGTAGCCTGTGTGTTCCCAGCCCTGCCCCGGCCACCTGCCCATCGCACACTTTGAGAGAGGCCTAAAGCCTGCAGCCTGGCGTGTGAGGCTCACTGCACCCCGCCCTCATTCGACTTCCCAGAATCCTCTCCCTACACCCCCTCGCCACTCTTGCCAAATGCCACTCTGCCATTTCTGACCACAGGGCGTCTCGCCTCTTTCCTTATGTCTTGGCACCTGTTGTTCCCTCCATGAGAGAGTATCTGCCAGTCTTCAGCTGGCAAAGCTCCACTCCCCCCCTTTCCATGTCACACTGAGAACCCCCTTCTCGGGGGACACCTCTTCCAGGGAAGGTTCCCCGTGGCATCTGTGGACCTGCGAGGGCAGTGAATATCCTCTAAGTTGTCTCCAACTTCATCTCTCCACCCCCAAGGGGTAGTCAGCCTGTGAGCCTGGCTCTGTGGTGCTTGAGGTGGCTCATGGGAACACCCAGAAGCCACTGGTACCCCAGGAGCCTTCCAACTCCCGGACACCCCACCAGGGCTCAGAGCACTCCTCCCGTCTGCCCTTCTGGCAGGGTAAATACTGATGGGGAAACTGAGGCCCAGACAGGGGTCAGACTTGCCCTGGATAAAGTCTTTGCCTCTCAGGACATCAATGGACAGCCTGCCCAGGTAATTCTCCTCGGAGTCCAGCTCCCAGGGAGTGGGACGGGGGTGAGGGGCAGAAGCAAGACCCAGAGCTAGACCCTATGACTTCCTCCCAAGGAGGAAAGGAGTGGAGCTGGACCTCCAGCCTGGCTTGGGCCCTGGGATCAAGGGAGCCTGGCCCATCCCCTGTCACAGGCAGAGTCCTGGGTCCGAGGAGAGCTCGTGGAGGGCTGTGTAAGTAGAATCCCCCCACCTTCTGAGTCCCCCACCATCTCCTAAGCTTAGACATTAGCAGGTTAGCCACCGGGTGAACCCAAACAGAAACGTCAGACCCAACTCAACCCTCATCTTCCTCTGTCCATCTTCACTGGCTGGCTCAGTCAGGAAGGCCATGGAGAGACACTGCCAAAGCTTGTGTGCCTTGGATGCTCTCACCAGTCTGTGAGACAGGTGGTCGTGCCCCCCACTGTGCCAAGGAGGGAGAGTATGCTGAAGTCTTAAAGCTGGCCATGGAGCTGGGGACTGAGGGCAATGGAAGCCCAGAACATAAGCTCTTTCCACCACTAGAGTCATCAGAGCTCCTGGGCTCCTGGGCATCTATCTGGGGAGTTCCATCTCGGAGCCCCCTCGGCACGAGGGAGAAGGTGATGCCTGGGTCCTGAGGCTGCCGTGCAGAGCCACACCCAAATCCTCCTAAGGTTTCCATGTCCCAGACTGGCTGGCGCCCATGATAACAGCAGCCTGGGGGGTAGGGGTGGGGTAGTGATGCAGAAAATCAATGCTGACAATACCTTTGAGAGTTCTAGCCTACCTCCTTGATGGGCAGTTCCTGGATCTACTGAGCCCTGGACGAGAGGGGCCCCAGCCTTGGAGCCAGCCTTCACCGGACCCTGGGCTGTCACCCTAGGGCTGTGACAAGGGCAAGGGGCTGTGCCCAGTGTGGGTTATCTGCCTTTCCTACCTAGTCACCCAGAGGTCATGGGACCTCCCTCCACAGACCCTAGACCTACACAATTCCAGTGCCTAAGCACATGCAATGTGCCTGTGAAAGGCACACAGATGACAGCCTATGTCTCCACACATTCATGAGTATAAACCACACACGAGGAGACCACAGAGCATCAGCACCCTGGAACTGCACCATGAGGTGTACTTGTCACACACGCACAGAGCACAAGGACATCGCTGCCACACAGCACCCACAAGATGAGCACATACAGATCCCAGGCACTGTCCCCAGGCTAGCAGTCCCACCCCTGGGTGGTACTCAGTATCAATCTCTTCCATAGGCTGGGCAGCCCACCCGCCTTGCCTCTGCCTTCTCAATGTCCCCTGATGTCCACAGGCAAGCCAACACCTGGATTTCCCATCGACCAGCCCTGCCCATCAACTATGGGTTCCTGGAATTCCTGTTGCCTGCCAGACCGAAGAGAGAAAAATCCATGGATTTGAACTGTGGAAGGATATCGAAAGTACCATGGGCTGCGAAAAGAACAAGCCGATGTATCTTGGAAGAAGAACAGCCAGAATGCTCCTTAGAAGCCTGGATGGCGAGACTTTGTCTCAATTACCTTGGACATGCTATCAGGAGGGACGAGTCCCTGGGGAAGTGCGTCATGCCTGGTAAAGTGGAAGGGCAGCAAAAAAGAGCCGACATCATGGATCGACACAGTCGCTGCAACAGTGGGCTCAAACATAAGAACAATTGTGAGGAGACACAGGACAGGACCGCGTTTTGGTCTACTGCACAAAGGGTCACACGAGCTGGAAGTAATGATGCACCGAACAGCAGCCGCCGCCAGACCACTAGGTGGTCACGAGGGAGTGTGTGTGTGAGTGTGTGCGGGGTGGAGTGGGCATAGGGGGCACAGGCCACACAGGGCGAAGCTCGAGAGTCAGGGGGTGACACTGAAAGGTCTGTCTGTACAGACGTTTTGCATTGCTTCAGC